CACCTTCTCATATTGACCTCTGTCGCCTTAAGGTTTCTGTATTATCTCCTCTGCAGTGGGGACACCAAACACTTTCATGTTTTGGGTTTCCTACCTATCCATGTACTTCCCATATGTGCTCTTCCCTTAGTGTGTGACCCAACAACATTGCTGCCTTTGCCCTAGATCTAAAGTTCACATGTGAGGGAGAACATACAATTTTTGGTCTTCTGAGCCTGGCTAACCTCACTCAGGAAGGTGTTCTCCAGTTCCATCCATTTACTTGTGAGTGATAAGATTTAATTCTTTTTCATGGCTTAGGAGAATTCCACTGTGTATAGATACCACATTTTCTTAATCCAGTCATCAGTAGTGGGGCATCTTGGCTATTTGAATAACTTGGCTATTGTGAATAGTACTGCAAGAAACCTGGGTGTGCAGGTGCCTCTGGAGTAACCTGAGTTGCATTCCTTTGGGTGTATCCCCAGGAATGGGATTGCTGGATCATATGACAGATCTATGTTTTCTTTTTTAAGAAGCTTCCTTATTTTTTTCCAGATGGTTGCAGTAGCTTGTATTCCCACCAGCAGTGTATGAGGGTTCCTTTTTCCCCACATCCTCACCACCGCCTGTTGTTGTTGGTGTTTTTAATGATAGCTATTCTAACGTGGTGAGGTGGAATCTTGGTGTGGTTTTGATTTGCATTTCCTTTATGGCCAGAGATGGTGAGCCCTTTTTCATGTGTTTTTTGGCCACTTGAGTTTCTTCTTTTGAAAAAGTTCTGTTTAGTTCAGTTGCCCATTTCTTTATTGGTTCATTGATTTTGGGAGAGTTTGGTTTTTGAGTTCCCTGTACATTCTTGTTATCAGTCCTTTGTCTGATGTATAGCTGGCAAAAATTTTTTCCCACTCTGTGGATGTTCTCTTCAGTTTAGAGACCATTTCTTTTGTTGTGCAGAAGCTTTTTAATTGTATGTAGTCCATTTGTCCATCCCTTCTTTTACTTGCTGAGCTTCTGGGATTCTATTGAGAAAGTCCTTGCCTGTACTAACTTCAGAGTTTCAGGTCTGATATTAAGGTCCTTGATCCATTTTGAGACGATACTGTTATAGGATGATAAACATAGATCTAGTTTCAGTTTCTTGCAGACGGATAACCACTTTTCCCAGCAACATTTGTTGAAGATGCTGTCTATTCTCCATTGTATGTTTTTGCGGCCTTTGTCAAAAATAAGGTGGGCATAGCTCTGTCAATTCATATCTGGGTCCTCTACTCTGTTCCATTGGTCTTCATGTCTGTTTTTGTGCCAGTATCATACTGTCTTTATTGCTATTGCTTTGTAATATAGTTTGAAGTCAGGTATTGTGATACCTCCAGCATTGCTCTTTTTGCTGAGTACTGCCTTGGCTATTTGTGATCTCTTATGTTTCCAAATGAGCTATAGGGTAGATTTTTCAATCTCTGTGATAAATGTCATTGGGATTTTGATGGGGATTGCATTAAACATATAGATTGCTTTTGGTAATATAGCCATTTTTACTATGTTGATTCTACCAATCCATGAGCACAAGAGATCTTTCCACCTTCATAGTCTTCCTTGATCACTTTCTTCAGGGGTTTGTAGTTCTCCTTGTAGAGGTCATTCACATCCTTTGTTTACACCTAGGTATTTGATTTCTTTAGGCTATTTTAAATGGATTTGTTTCCTAATATTCTTTCTCAGTTTATTTGTTGTTTTTGTATAGAAAAGCTAATGATTTTTGTTAAGTTGATTTTGTGTCCTGCCACCTTGCTGTAGCTGTTTATGGTGTCCAGGCATTTTGGGGTAGAGTATTTTGGGTCTTTAAGATATAGGATCATGTCATCCGCAAATAGGGATATTTTAACAGTTTCTTTACCTACTTGTATCCCTTTTATTTTTTCTTCTTGTGTAACTGCTCTGGCTAGGAATTTCAGGACTATGTTGATTAGTAGTGGGGATAGTAGGCACCCTTGTCTCATTCCTGATTTTAGGGGAAATGGTTTCAGTTTTTCTCTATTAAGTATGATGTTGGCTGTAGGTTCGTCATATATAGCCTTTACAATGTTGAGGTACTCTACTTCCATTCCTAGGAAAACAATTAAATTTACTGGACAAAATTATTGAGATTCTAACCAATGGAAAAATCTTTGATGCACACTGACTAGAACATGTATTAATGTGTTTTCATTGGCTATAACAAAATAGCTGGGCCTCAGTAAATTATAAAGATAATAGATCACGCTTTGCCATAGGATAGAGCTATGATGAGGGTCTCAGGATGGGTGACGTAAAAAAGGCTGAAGTGCCTGAGTGCCTGCAACAGACATCAGTTGTTCAGACATGAAGCCAAGGAGATTCAGGGTCCAGATTTGATCTTTTACTTTGGCCAGTAACTGGTGACCAAAGAGCACAATATGAATCACTTATGAGAGTGACACTCCCATGCTATTATTATCTTCTACTAGGACCGACCTAAGATAATTATTCATCAAATGTCCCTGAGATACATGTGTATCCACAATAGCAACTGGAATTTCATCCAAAACTGATCACATGTGTAAATGTAAATTTTAACCAAGCCAAATATATATAAGAGAACTTAAGCAATACATACCTGTCCCTATAAAGGCATAGCAAAACATGTGGGCTTAGTTTAAAGAATATGTTCTAGGGTCTGGAACCAAAAAAAAGTGACACAAGAAAATTTCCATTGAATTTCATCAGATCTATAAACTCTTGTGACTCAAAATACAACATCAGAAATAATGGGAGAAGATGTTTGCAAGTCACATAGATAATATAGATCTCATACCAGAATGCATAAAAGTGGACATGGCACTTCTATGTGTATACCTCTGCCAGAGAGAATACTCTGATGGCAGCAAACAATCATGCTGTACTTCCTCTGCACCATAGTGACCCTCAGTTTACCTGGGACTAGGGCTTCCATTGCCTATATTTGGTCTCCTGGGTACATGGGATGCTATGCTCAATCAGTCATTCATACTCATCAGCACCCTATATGCTTGAGGAACTCTACAACCACCTCTATATTTAAACTTATTACTCTAATACTACTCCTAAAATATGGACGATCCTAAAACATAATGTTGATTGGACTGACACCAGCTCTAAATCTGACCCTAAACCTAAGTCAGTCACAAATCACTAAGTCTGACCTGTTCTTAACACTAACACTATTTTCATAACCCTGACTTCATTCTTTTGCTCTTGTGCATTTATATGGACATTTGTGCCTCTATGTTTGGGGGAGACCCTGTCCATACGTATCTGTATCTCTTTGTGCACTTGTGGTTCTTAGAGTGTGTTTACAGGTACGTATAAGTGTGGGACAGAATTTGTGTCTTCAGTGACTTCCTGTGATGTTCCCATCTCTTCAGTTTTTGCATTAGCTAGAGGTGATACTGGTCTTTGTTCACAGGTCATACAGATGTTTACAGGCTTGAATAGCTGAAAATACCCTAGGACATAGATGTGTATTTGTCCTGTGGAGGGCATTGCTGGTGTGATTCTGTAAGGCAAAATGACTTGTCCAGGATTCCACAAATGGGAAGAATGAGGCACTGCATTAGCCGGGTCAGCTTTTTGAAGGTAAAGCACTAGCTACTGCCAGCACTGGCTGAAAACTGTGGGCTAGGACAGGCTGTGTTGATGTGTGTCCATGTGTGCATATGATGATGTGGGAGAGTATCAGTCAGTAACCTGGGGGTCATTTTGGGTGTTCTTTTCTGAGGAAGAGGCTCAAGGAAGGTGACCCTGGGAGGTGACTCTGCTTCTATGATGATGACTCACAGAACATGGAATCCTGGTAGGCAGGTGGCCAGATTCCACAGCCAGTAACAGCCAGATCACTTGGACAGAGACCCTGTAGAGAGCAGGATGTTCTCTTGCTGTCTCCCAATATCCTCTGGCCTATGCCACAAGAAATCCCAGAGTGGATGGCTTCGTTTCTGGAGACAGTGGACCAGACCTCATGACACAACAAGGGAATTCAGGTCATTTTCCAAGAGCATGCCAAAGAGGACAGAGAGCAGCCAAGTGCAGGTACACACAGGCCAGGCAAGCACTCTGATGAAACAACTACAATAACCTCAGGAAAACTCCCCCACATGTATTTTAGTGTGAGTTTTGATGATAAATTTTTAAGAATAGTTTTTAATTCATACTATGCCACTAACTTTTCAGTTTGCTAAAAATTCCATGTTTAAACCATCCCTCCTTGATCCCATCTAATGGAGAACATGAGTCCAACCATGTCCAAGATGAGCCTTAGAGTGGGAAGACCCTAGAGCCTGGTATGCTGGAGAAGCATGTGAATAACTGGTGCCTTCCCTGCAGAGTGGGGACCCCTTCTTTGTTCCAGCCTTCCTGTACACCTACTGAAAGTTCTCCACTACTATGCAGGTGCTGGATCTGTTTTTTAAATGGTGAATACCCCAGCTGTAGTCCAATGAGGGTTGCCCCCTCTATCCCATTCTTCAGAGTATTAGAAAATGCCCTGGGTCAGCTTGCTTTAGTAGGGTGCTGTTCAAGATCAAATGTGATGAACCCTGCAAGGCTTTCCCCAGGCTTATCCCTATTGAGTGAACTTCCAAGCCTGTGTGGCTCTTGTGTGTGAATTGCATCTCCAGTATGAAGAAACTCTATTCCTCAAGCCTCACTAGTCTAAGAAGACTCAAGAATAGCACTTGTGTCACTTTCAAGAGGTTTTAGGTTCCATCTGGGGAATCTCCGAGTTTTGGAAATCAGAGCAAGACTTGTACATGTGCTCTGAGTAGACTTGTGCTCATTGAGATATTTGGGAAGAAGCTGGATGGGTTTTGTAAATGCTCAAACATGAATCATGTAATATATATATATATATATATAGGTACATTACAAATCAGTTTGCCTATAATTCGTGGAATGCTGTAGACAAACCTAACATCCCTCCTAGATTACTGTTCTCTTCTGGGCCTCAGCCAGTTCATTAAATTCTGGAAAGTAGACAACACAAAATATTAAGAGTGACACCCTTTTGTCTTCCTGTAGGTATGGATACTTCCATGATGCTTGTGATGAGCAAATAAAGAAGTGAGTGGACTTTGGCTCAAGAAGGAGGACTCCCCCATAGAGAGTCAGGAAATTGTGGGGGCTGAAGTTAGATGTGGAAAAACTGGATTCCACACCCTGTTTTCATTTCCCCTAGGGGTTGAGCCTCGGGCTTGAATAGCTGGCAGAGGAACACAGAGATAATGATGGAATCCTGGGAAATTGGGGAGGTGACAGGAGGCTGGAGGTTCAGGGCTGGCCTCAGTGAGAATCCACCCTCACCCTACTCTTTCATAGCCACACTTTCGCAGCACTATTCTTGAAATAAGCCAGGAAAGGAGATGAGGTGAACACCCTGTTCAAATGGACTTCACTCTCTTCCCCAAATGGCTACTTACACATGATCTGGCAGCCTTTGTATGGGTGTCCTCCTAGCAAGAGGATATTTGAGTACTAGGAATGCAGAAGGCAGGATGTGACATTTGTGCCCACCAATCTGCCCCCAGCCTCATCTGCTTCTTCATTGAGATGTGGCTGGACAAGTATCCCGAGGATTTCTGCAAGTCCAAAGACCTGGACATCTTGAATCAGTTGATGGCCTATCTGCTGGTCAACATGCCCTTCTCAGAACTGACAGTTCGTTCCATCATCTGTTGACTCAGCTAGAGGTCTTGGAATCAACTAATACACAGCTCATGCACAGTGAGGAGACCTTCAGTAAGTGACTGATAACAGGGGAGGAGGTGTGTGTACTGGTCCTGAGTGGGAGCAGACTGAAGAGTCTGGTGTTTTTTGGCAGTAGACATCAGTGGACCCCAGTCTGGGAAGATATCCTGTTGTTGGGTGAGATACTGGGAATTTCCTGGCAGGTGGGGTCTTCTTTGTTTGGAAAGGCTCAGGCAGCGCCACTAATCATGCCATCCTTTTATAAGCCTTCAAGTGCAGTACAACATGAACTTCTAGAACTGTGTCTACTCACAGTACATCTGTTTCCATCCTTAGATTTGGGGCCACACATAATACTGTTCCTCAAGGAAAAGCACCCATTACTCATACCCTCAATGTTGCAACTACTACCAGCCTTTCTTCTCTAGATGGAGACCCAGAGCAGCCAAAGGATTCTGTCTCACCTGGGAAGACACAGCAAGTTATTTCAGTGACATAAGGGCTGGAACTACTTAATACTACTGGGTAAATCCACCTGGCTCTGCCTAAAGTAGCTGAGACAGGCATTCCTACAGCTGTGGAATAGAAGAAGAGCTTGAAGATTTGGCTACTGTAGATTTCCAGCTGGCTCTCCCAATATAGGTATAATTAACCCACTTCTACTTTTGTAGAAGAAGTTACTTCTTGCCCATAGAACAATCCAGACCACAATCCAAGTTTGGCAGAATATCTTCTCATTTTTGGAACCAGAGCCTGTTCTCGCATCTCCCTTGGAATTGTCTCCTAAAAGTCCACCCAGAGCCATCCTCCGTGGAAAATATATTTACTTTTTCTGGTTCTTTTCATTTCAATGTTTGGTATGTTAATTATTTTACATTTATTTCTAATAAAATTTCAGTATTCATTTATTTTAAGTTGTACGTTTCTAGAGTATTACATCCAATGATAATGATATACAAACTTGAGCACTCTGTACCCACACACTGAAGACACAGGCAAAGCACATGACTCTTGTGGGGAGGATGATCATAGGCCTTCATGGAGGACATAACAGGGAAGACCCTTCTTTTACAGGAAATAGGTGAATGCCAAAGAGGGTCAAGAAATCCAGGTAATGGCTGCAGGACACTTGATATTTAAGGACATGGACTCGGTTCTCAGAAGTGTTTCCTAAATATGTGTTCTTGTGAGTCTCAGGATTCTCATCTGTGAAATTGGATAACAGTTTTTTCCTAGCTTGGTATGAAGACAATTTGCATGTAATTGCATGGGGATGCATCCCACCATCTTTGGGCATAAGGCTGTTGTGTGTACACAGCCATTTTGCTTTCTGCAAACATACCAAGTGGAATTTAAGGAGAGTGGAAGCTTATGTTTGGGAGGGTTTTTACAAAGAGATATTTGAAGCCATGGTTATTTTCTTAAAGATTTGCTAAGCTTTTCCCCACGATTTTGGGGTAGGCTGTGGATGAAGTGTTTCAGCCAATATGAATTGTACACATGAATTTTTTTGTCATAATGGCATGTATGAAAATCTGCCATTGAGTATCACCATCAAATGGATCCTGGCACCTGTCATGCAGGGCACATAAAAAACTGACTAAGGGTCTAATGATTTGAGGCCCAGGGCTGAAGAGCACAGTTGAAGGATACCTCCACTAGAGGTGAGTCACAGGGAGTCTAGGATGCCACAACACAGAGAACAGAGAGGGTAGGGGCCATATCTAGGAGTAACTGGTAGGCTGGGCCTGTGATGACATCATTATTTAGGATAGGGAGAGTAGCTCATGCTTCTGATACCAGCTAATTGGGAAGTGGAGATAGGAGGATGATGGTTCAGGTCCAGGCTAGGCAAAAACACAAGACCCTATCTGAAAAGTAACTAAGAGAAAATACCTGAGTGATTAAAATACCAGGCTCAATGAATTAATATTGGGCCTGGATACCTCCAATGATAACCATGAGTTCAAATTGTGAAAAAAAAAATGGGCTGGATACTTCTGGGAAAAGAAAAAGGAAGGAAGTTCGATACGATTGGCTCTCACCTATAATCCTGTCTGCTCAGGAGTCAAAGATGAGGAGGATTGCCATTGAAAGCCTGTCCAGGCTAATAATTCATGAGGCCATATCTTGAATATACCCAACACAATAAAGGTGATCTAGCTCATGTGATAATCACCTACCTAGCAAGTGTTGGGCTGAGTTCCAACCAAAGTATCAGTGAAAAAAAAAAAAACAGGAATAAACATAAGTAATCCAAAGAAAATACAAAAACCCCAATTAAATGACAATAGATGTCATTATACACTCATTCCTATGGGTAGCATAGGAAGGCTGATGAGAATATTCATACAGAATTTCAAGGTATACTTGAGACAATGTCAAAAAGAAAACCAAATTTGTTATTTACACTTCCAAGTTTCAGATCACCACAAGCCAGGCTGTGGTGTTCACATGTGTTGAAGAATGAAGTTGGTTTAAAAAGCCCGCTGTAGAAGTTCCTAAGACTCTTTCATGTATTGTTAGGTTTCCATGAATATTAATTTGGCACTAAGCATGGAGCATGGAGGTCGAGTATATGCATTCTAAAAGCAAGACCCCGGGATTTGGTTTTGTTTTGGTTTGTGTTTTGGTGGTAGTGGGGTTTAGACTCAATGTGTCCTCCTTTCTAGGTGGGCAATCTACCACTTGAATCACTCCATCAGAACTTTTTTGTGTTAGACATTTTTGAGATACTGTCTTGCAAAATATTTGCCCAGGATGTCTTTGACCCACAATCCTGATCTCTGCAACCGAATAGCTGGAATTACAGGCATGAGTCATGAGCACCTATCTAAGGCCATGGGTTTGATCCCTAGAAGTAGAAAACAAATCTTAGTCCATCCTGATACCAGGATAAGTATTGTGAATATTTTTTGAAAGGATCATTATGTTGTCTAAATGACTGTAATCTGGGATTGGCAGTGTAGCTCAGTGCTCCTGTTTGGCTGGGATCAATCATCCCATACAGAAAAAACAAAGAGTAGTAACATAAAATGATCACTTTGCATTATGGGTTCAGAAGAAAATTTAGACTGCAATGTTTGTGGTGGGTTATTTTTAGCAGGTCTCTTACTTACAGAATTGGTAGGTTTGTGGAGGCTAATTCTATGGTACATAAAGACATTAAAAAAACATTTCTTCAGGCAGAGTGGCTCAAATGATGGAGCTCCTGCCTAGCGAGCATAAGGCCCTGAGTTCGAACCCCACTACTGCCAACAAATGTATTTCTGAAAGAGAAATTATTTGTCAGGTATTACCAAATCCATAGGACTTGTTTAGACAAAGTTTATTAATAATTCTCATAGAGGTTATTAGATGTTCTATGGTAAAATCTCTTTCAAATAAGGGGTGTAGTACACATTATAGCAGAGCTCATCTTAAAAGAAATTTCCTTTTATGTTAGAGTTGAGTGAGCCACTACTTCTATTCATTTACCATGTTTGAGAGTCCAAGATTCATCAAAATATAAGTGGGCTTCCTAGTATGTTCTATTTTCTTACGTTAATGCCACAAATTAGTATGAACATTGATTGTGTCCAAGTACCAGCAACCCAGTCAAAAACAGCTTTTGTATATTAATGTCATTTTCTGCAAAGGACCCCAGGTGTTCGCTAAATCTTGCAATACTGACAGTTGATCATAACTGAACTATTTCTGTTCCATATGATATTATGTTCTGTACTCTCTTAGACTAATACTTTCAGTGCCAGTGATGCCTCTAACAGCATCAAATGTAGATGCAGTGGGGGTCCAGATGGTGGCTGCACTGTGAAGGAGGCCGTGAGGGGAGGTTTGTCAGAACATGGCAAACTGGAAACACCACAGCAGAGATCTCCAGTGCAGCCATGCCTCTGTCACTGCTTCCTTCCTTACTCCATCTGCTCCTTTTAGATGGAGAAGAAGGGCAGGGGCATAAGAGACAGGTGAAGAGGGCAGGAGCAGGTGACTGCCTGGCTTAGCCCCAGCAGCAACCTTAGTTGCAGGCCAATGACCTATACTGTGTAGCTCTGCATGGCCTTCCAAGCCCCAGAATGGCAGAGGCTCATGGCAGCAGTGAGGCCTACAGCACCAGGTCCAGATGTCACAGTATGAGTTCTGGATGGTGGTCAAAGTGATGTTCTGCTGCACTGCCTCTACATCATTGATGAATCTTCAACTACTATGATTCCAGCTGAACATGGTGGCCCAGATCTTCCCCTGGATCCTTGGTAAGGTGCCTAACCACAAGGCTACATTGAGAAACTATATATAAAGAAAAAACGTTATTTACTACAGTGTTAGTGGACATTCTTCGGTTATAATTTTCATGGTAATAGTATATATTTTCATGGTATTAGTTTTGTGATAAGTTGTCTTCAGTTGTTAAAATATTTACACGGTAGAAATTGGATGAAGGGGTAGAATACCTTTTATCTTTGTAATTCTGTGTGCTGCTTTTAGTCACAGAAAGGGAAAGCAGATGATTTTCCTTCTTAAATATTTTAAATTAAAATTTCTTTTGGTGGTACTGGGGTTCAAACACTGGGCTCACACTTGCTAGGCTGGCACTATGCCACATGATCCACACCTCCAGCTCCTCAAAGAACATCCTTGAATCTACTTAACTGTCAACAGCTCAACAATCCTTCATGTTTTAGTGTGACATATTGTGGATTCTGAAAAGGGATAGGAAAATAGGCATGTTGGCCAAGGAGACATGGACTAATTCCCCTTACTGAAAGAAGGAATGAAGACCTTCATTCCAGTAGGTCCCCGAAAAAAGCCTGAGACACTAACCTAGCTTCAGATGTATACTCACTCCTAAACTTAAGAATGAAATCTATGCTGAGCTAGAGACATAGCTCAGAGAAAGACCACTTTCCAACTTGTGAGGTCTTTAATTTAATCACCTATCCTGCAAAACTGAATTATTTAATAAATCTTATCATTACCAGCATGAATGCGTATTTTTTTGGAGCAAGGATTCAGGGGTTTGACTCATATAGATGTGAAATCTGGGGTAAAATGGTCAATATATTCATATCCAAGTTATGGCACTATTATTGTAAAAGAAAAGTCGTGCAATGATTATTGAAAAAATTATCTGTAATAATTTTTAAACTGCAAAATGAATTTAATAAATTTTAGGATTCATTTTAATGGAATTTTATAAAGTTGTTTGTAGTCTTTGCACTCAACTCTGAGTACTGCAGTGGTAATCTGGAATTTCTAGCCAAAGAGTAGCACAGAGGTCAATAGATGGAAAATTATCATGAAAAAACAACAGGGTTAAAGGGGCAGAGATACTGGCTAAACTCATCGAATAGGATTTTGATTAAACTCAGGCCAGGATCATCAGACATCATCTGCAAGTTGGTGGAGGAAGAAGAAACTGATCACACACTATGTATAATCAGTTATCAAGGGTAGGAAGTAGTGTTTCTTACTGTATTTTCTTAGCAGTGTTCTTTCCTATACTTGGATTTTTAAAAAAGGCACAAGATCTTTGAAGAAGTTTCAGGTCTGGTTTTTGCTACTTGTGCTTAGCATGCAGGAGTACGTGAGTGCATCCACCAGAAATGAAACAAACAAAAGAACAGAAATCTGACTGCCTTTTGGTAAAGGAATACTCTGTCATTCTTTACAAATTCATCATACTTCCTTCTGTCCAGTGGAACGCACAATGTCACCTAAATATTGTTCTGACCTGA